CCACGGAAGCAGACTGGCCGGAGTGGCGGTTCAACTGTCAATCTGTAGAACTGTAGGCGGGGCATCTAGTGGGAGCATCTTTGGTTGCCTTAGCAACGGTGGAAGCTTCAGCCGTAGGGTAGCCGGGCCTTTGCTTAAGCCCCGCCCCTGGCTGTGCCCACCTGGCTGCTCTCGGGCTTCTGCACCTGGCATGGAGGAGGGTGGCCGAGGTGCTGACCCAAGGCATGCTGCCGCCTGAGATTAAGGGGTGGAGCGGCTATCCATGCTTCGCTTCGAAGAAGGCAGGAGGCAGCTGAGGGAGAGAATGCCAGACCCACCTAGATGGCTCACCCCTTTCTGGTTTTGGCCACTGGCCAAGAGGATCACCCCCCTACTGACCCATCGCCAGAGAAATGACAACCCTGAGAACTACTGGGGTATCGCTGTCCATTTTGACACACAACCACTCGCCGCAACAGCATCCCAGCCGCCCTGCCCGAGCAGAGTTCAAAAGCCGAGGGGCAGCTCCGTGGATTCCTCACCAAACCCTGTTGGAGCAGCTTGTTGTTGTTTAGTCGTTTAGTCGTGGCCGACTCTTCGTGACCCCATGGACCAGAGCATGCCAGGCCGTCCTGTCTTCCACTGCCTCCCGGAATTGGGTCCAATTCATGTTGGTCGCTTCGCAGACGCTGTCCATCCATCTCGTCCTCTGTCATCCCCTTCTCCTCTTGCCCCCACTCTTTCCCGACATCAGGGTCTTTTCCAGGGAGTCTTCTCTTCTCATGAGATGGCCAAAGGATTGGAGCCTCAGCTTCAGGATCAGGATCTGTCCTTCCATATTGGAGCCTCAGCTTCATAATCCTCATCTTTTCTTCGACGTATCTTTATTCACTGGTTTCTCTTCCCCTATTTTGTCTCCATACCGAAGGCCTTTCTCCTTGGAGCAGTTTGTTTTCTTGTTGTTTATCTCCATATGTCCCCTCATTCAAAGCCGGGACTTCTCAGCGTGGCCGGCCACATTGGATCCCGGTTGCCTTCGCTTTCGCTGTCCATCCGTTCCAGGCTCCCCGGGCCTTCAAAGAGGAACGATCAAATCTTCTTTGTGTCGCTGTTTTGCGCCTGGCGCCTGGGATCACGCAAGGCTGCCTGGAGGCAACCTCCAGAACGCTTTCCAAGGGAACTGCCCCCCGTTTGGATTGTTTGGAAGAGAGCGGGTGTTTTTACACGGAGAGGAAACATGTCGCGCTTCCCAAACAAGGACAGTAGGCAGAGTTCAGCTGAGATCGTGGTCCCTGGGTGAGAGGGCGTCATTCAAGGGCATGGATGGACATGATCCATGGAGAATTTCGCCAGCTCCAGAACCCTCCTGGAGCCGCATGAGCCCCTCCGCCTTCCAGAAGTGGTTGGAAGGCCTGCTTAAAAGTGAATAAATAAACTGTTGAGGTTTTTTTATTATTTAAAGAAAAGATGTGTTTTTATTTTTGCTAAAACAAGGTGCAGGTAGGGCACACGCTATTTAAAAAAAAACATACACCCTCCCTCTTGTCATTACGTGCCATCAAGCTGGGATCGACCTGTAGCAACCCTGATAGGGCTTACATGGTAAGTCAGATATTTAAGGAGTGGTTTTACCAGTTCCACTCCCCCAGATTCGAACTCAGGCCTCCTGAGTCCTAGTCGGCCCCGCTATTCCTTGAATAGCACTGGGTATCTAATGGGCACCCAGTGAGTAAGCTCGTCCTCCCGGGCATTAACATTTTGTTGTTTTTTGGGGAGGGGGAAGATGATGGATTTCTTTAAGTATCCCAAAAAGCCATCTGGATAAGGAGTTACTTTGGAAAGATTAGGGATCTATCAAATAAATAAATAGGAGATGAGAATGAAAGCCTGCAGTAAGATTGAGAGGTACAACGTTACCGTTTTTCTTTCTTTCTTTTCGCTTTCCTCTCCTTCCCGCCCGTCTTCCGGACCAGAAACGACGGAGCTGGGCAACAAGAAGGAGTTGAAGTCCATGCCATTCATCACGTACCTCTCGGGGCTTCTGACGGCGCAGATGCTGTCGGACGACCAGCTGATCTCGGGGGTGGAGATCCGTTGCGAGGAGAAGGGCCGTTGCCCGTCCACGTGCCACCTGTGCCGGCGCCCGGGCAAAGAGCAGCTCAGCCCGACCCCGGTCCTCTTGGAAATCAACCGCGTGGTCCCCCTGTACACCTTGATCCAGGACAACGAGACACGGGAGGTGAGTGCGAAATGAGAGAGACCAGAGAGAGCACTAAAATCAGAAACAGCCCTTGTTTGTTTGTTTGTTTGTTCGTTCGTTTATTATTTAAAATATTTATATGCCACCTTTTCCCTAAAGGACCCAAGGCGGCTTACGGTTAGAAGAAACAAAATGCAAGGCTAAATCATAAATTTATGGCACTATTTAAAAAGGATTAAACAAATGCCTTATGGAAACTGGCAATAAGAACAACACTAAAAACACGGAATGAAATGCTTCCTTAAAAAAATAAGAAAGAAATCTCCTTGGTCAACCAGTCATTAAAAGGAAAGCCTGCCTGAAGAGAAAGGTCTTGGTCTGTTTGCGGGAGGGCAGCCAAGAGGGGGCCAGCCTGACGTCCAGTGGGAGGGAGTTCCAAAGTCTAGAAGCAGCTGGAGAGAAGGTCCTCTCCGGGGTCCCTACCAAGCGCATCTGTGAGGGTGGTGGGACAGAGAGAAAGCTGCCATCCCCCCCCCCACAGATGATCTCAACACCCGTGCAGGCTCATAACGGGAGATGTGGTCCTTTAAGATAGCTTGGGAACCAAACCGTTTAGGGCTTTATAGGTTAGAAGCAGCCCTTTGAATGGTCTGCAAATGTGGCTTCAGAGAGGATGCACCAAATGCCTGCTTTGCAGCCCCGAGCTCTCTCTCTCTCTCACCAGATCCTGATCAATCCCTCTTGCGCTCCCCCCAATGTCTGTAAATGTGACCGGTCATTAGGCAGTTCCCGGCCGGCCGCTGGAGGTCAGTGTTTCCCTGATCAGCGTGGGCTTGCCTTGCTCGGTGACCCTTCCTGAGGTTAGCTCCTTGGCTTCTCTCCCTTGCCTGCCAAAAAAGAAAGAAAGACCGAGGAGAGCTTAAATGTTAATTATATGTAGATTTATTTCCCCCCCACACACACACACACACACTCCTTTGACACCGAGGGTGGGGGTGGGCTCTGTTTTCCCCCATCCAAAAACTGACAGACCTGGTTAAAGTCACTTATTAGCGCTGCAGCCTGCTCTTGATTAAGGCCCTTGGAAGGTGCCCGGGGGGGGGGCGCAGCTGTGGGTGGTGGGGTGGAGAGCAAGCTGCAGGTCTGGTCGTCCTCCCAGCGAGGAGGGGAAGCGTGGCCGCTGCCGTGGCGGGGGGAGCCGATCCCCCCCACCCCCCCCTACTCCAGGTCTATCCTGGGAGGCCGATGGCTCCTTTCCGACAGGCTTTTTTTGCATCGCAAGTAGCATTTTAAAACCATCTTTATAATTATGGTGTGTCCAAAGCTCATGTGACATGGCCTCGGTCTCTTCCTGACCTGATCGCTCGCCGTTCTCCGTTGTGTTCTTTGTTTGCTAAGATTTGTTGTCTGTCCCTGACGTTGCCCTTCTCTCCCACCCTGCCTTAGCTTCAGCCCCTCTCCTGATTTCGGCAGAAGCGGCTTCTGTCTTCTCCTGTCATTGGGAAAAACCTCCCAGATGCACCGTTATGGGCTTGTGTATGAATACGTTGTTTACAAACGGGACTAAAAAAAATCTAGGTTTAGGGGAATGGTCACCTTCCGAACGTTGATTCACTTCCCCGAGGGTTTGTGGTACCTGTCTATATTGGTGCACTTAATTTTGCCAGGGCATTACATTCCGTCTGTTTGTTTGCTTTTGGAAACATTTTAATGCAAACCACGAGAACGCCCGTGGAGCATTCCTCTTGCTTCGGCAGCGTAGGTAAGAAATCCCGTGGGGCTGAGTACATTCTTGGCATGCCGGGAGAGACGGTCTCATTGGCCATGATAAGGTTCACCCCCCAAAAAATCCTCCGCAGGGTTCTGTCATTCCTCCAGGAAAAGAGAGAGGGGGAGATCTGGGATCTGGGAAGCTAGGTTTTTCCCTATCCCTTCTCTGTCGCCCCCCCCCATGAGCCTTTTGGGGAGCAGGGGTGCCGCGTCTTTTCTCCTTCGGCCATCCCAATGAACGAGGCAGTTTCCACCGCTTGGCGCCGAGAATCCACCAGCCAGCAGACCCTGGACGGGTCGGTCCCGGCAGGAGCATCGGAGCCTCGCCCTGAGTCGGCCTCGTCTGCGGGGACGGCTAGAGGAGGAGACCGGGACGAGTGAGGGACGGGAGGAGAGGCATAAGCGGGGCAAGGCACGGTGGAGCTCCGAGCAGGGAGACGGTGGCGGTGGCGGTCAACCCAGGAGAGCCATAGGTGGTGCTGGCGAGAGCGTCTAAGGTGTGCCAGAAATGTGCCCCTCTGTCGAGGGAGAGGAGGCGGCGGATTTGCCAGCAGACAATGGGTAAACATTCGAGGCAACGCGGCCGATGGTGGGCCTCTTTCTGACATCATGTTTTCCTTTACCAGAGCACTTTTGGAAGTGTGCCTGGGGAGGAATGCAGGCCGAAAACATTATATGGGGATTTTCCATCCCCGCATGCATGCGCTGCTATGGAGCCTTCCCCGCTTCCCTCCTCTCTCCCCCCCCCAAACACACACACACACACACTTCTTATTTTGGAAAGGTGGGGCAAGGGGGGGGGAAGTCCTTTGGTGGGGAAAAAACTGGGGACTGTGGTCTGCTCCTGCGGAGGTGGCCCGCAAAAGCTAGTGGCGCACGTCTTGGGTTTCCATGTGTCTGTGTGTGTGTGTGGTTTCCTATGGAGAGAAGCCCTCCCCGGGATTTGATGTGGCCAGCCATGGGTAACACTGCAGAGCGCCACTGTTGCTCAGAGAAAGCAAAAAAAACGAGCGAGGTGCCCAAAGTGAAGAGAGCAAAGCATCGGGTTGCTCCTTGCATGTGTATGTCCCTCGGTTTTGCAAGCAGAAGCTGCCTGGTCTCTAGGCAAGTTTTGGGAAAGGACCGTGATATTTACTGATTTGTGTGTGTGTGTGTGTGTGTGTGTGTGAACCACAAGGTCTGGAATGTTTTAGGGCAGGGGTTCCCTGCCTTGCCCCCACCCCCCACCCCAGATGGTCTTGGACTAAAACTCCCAGAAGCCTTCACCGCTAGCTACGATGGCCAGGATTTCTGGGAGTGGTGGTCCAAGAACATCAAGGGTGGGGGCGCCACGGTGGGGAGCCGGCGTTGTAGGGGAACGACAGCAGAGGCTGTGCTGTTCACAGGGAAAGGGTCCGCTCCGGTTCCTGCCGTCTGTTGTTAAAAGAATCGGCAAGCGGTGAGACAAGCAGGACATCTCCACAAGACCTGTCGTCGGCACGACGTTGCTGGCTTAGATAGGTCAACTGGTATTAGATACTGTACATTCCTATGCTTCTTCACCAGAAATTCTGGCCTGCTTTTCCCCAACCTTGCAATGTTCCCTTACTTCTTCCTTCTGTTTTCTCTCTTGTTGTTTTGTTGTCTCTTTCTCTCTCACACACACACACAAACACACATCTCTGCAACTTCTTTGATTTCTCCGCTCAGCACCTCCTTCGCCACCAAACTTTTCCGGCAACTTCGCCTCTTGCCCCTTCCCTCCTTTGCAGCCGCCTGGCGAAGAGAGGTTCTTTGCAACCTCATTGCCATCCAAGGGTAATCCATGACAGGCATCCAGAGCCTCCCTCAAATTGTGGTCCCTACGGCGGAAAAAACAAAAACAAAAACAACCCATGAGTCAAGGCTCACCCGGCTCGCTCTCTCGGCACGAGACAGGAATCTAAACGGCCTCCAACAGCGCTTTGGATCTTTTAACTGGAGGCACATCAAACGTGCCGGATTCTCCAGAAGTTGGATAACAGGATTCAGCCCTTTTGAGAGGATCCCATTGAGGCAGAGGAGAGAACCAAAGTTTTCTTTGCTTCCCAGATGTTGGATCTTCTTTTGATGCGGGTGCCAGCGTGCCCTCCCGGAAGCTGGCCTGGGGGTCCCCATCTGGTAGCTTGGCAGGGAGACGGGGAAGCTCATGTTTGAATGTCAAGCTCATAAACGCAGCGCTTGGCACAGTCGCCGGTCCTTGGTGGTTCCACTCACCCTTTGAGAATTTCCGACTGGGGATGAGCAATCCCCAGAGTCGAAGAGCGTCGCGGGTTTCGAAACCCTCTTTCCTGAAAGCTTGGGTTTCTTTGTCCCTCCTTTCGTCAGCTTCCTTGTTGCTGTCGTTCGCGCGCTTCCCTTCTAGGTCTGTCTTTCTCACTGGCAGGGAGACGGCCTATTCTACACCCCTAGAGTTGCCGATATCAAAAGCTGCTCAGAGGATGGAAGGAAAACGGACATCCCTCCTCCCTCTCCCTTACTCCACCTGGGCAGGAGCTAAGACCTCTGAACCACAACTCAGATGGGTTGAGGAACTTGTGGGTCCCCCTGGAGAGTCAGCCTGTAGAGAGAACAGGCTGCAAAAACTTTGACTTTTGCAAAAAAAAAAAAATAAATCCCCTAGCCAGCAGAACCCACTGGCCTTTCTGCCGGAACGATTGGAGGAGATCAGTGGTTTAAGGATCTAGCTGCGGTTAGGAATTCGATTCCCCCCACTATGCCTCCTGACCAAAAGAGCCAGCCTGGGTGGCCTTGGGCAAAAACAGGACAGTCCCAGGGCACCCCTAGAGGTAGGCAAGGGAAAAGCACTTCTAAGCACTCTCTAGTCTGGGGAACCCTGAACAGGGTCAGAATAAGTCAGAATCGACTTGACAGCAGAGGATTATGATGAGTAGTCGTCAAAGGATCTATCTACGATGGAAACATAACCCAAGCCATGCCGCAGGATTGTTCGCTCTCCAGAATGGTTTCAGTGCCAAGGGTCAGGCGGAGGAAGGCTGAGGAGGTCATCAAGAGAAGGGGGGAATGAAACCCATTTGCTGACCACGAGATGTCCAGTGTGCCCGGAGGTCAGATGGAGAAGACCTTTCCCAAGAGCGAGCAGGAGGTAGCTGTCCTCCTTCTGATTCTTTAATCATCCTCGGCTGACATGGTCGTCCTCCCTCCTGGCTGAGTAAACAGGGGCAAGGCCAGCCTTGCGGAGAGAAAGGGCCGTAGCCTATCTGAGCCTGAGATGGGAGAGCCGGTGTCCG